CTTCCTCTCTCAAATCTGAGAGAGAAAATTTTTCTCTCTTTTTTTTCTTAAAGCCTCCGGCCGGCCGCCTTGCTCCGGCGCCGACGCTCCCCGCCGACCACCACTCACGGTGGCCGAAAAATACAAAATACTCTTAAATCAAAGCCCTGATTTTTCTAAGCCTAAATCCAATGTTGTTCTCGCATAAAGTCTTACCAATTTTCGTAGATCTAAACGAAACCGAAGTTTTATATTCGGTTCTACAATGGTTCAGGCGACTCTTCGAAGTCCTCCGATGATGGTAAGTATTCCAACTTCTTTTCTTTCGGTCTGTATTTTTCTGGGATCGTTGGTGTAGTTCTTTGCTCTCTGTTTTTGTTTTGTTTTTTTTGTTGCTCTCTATTGATTGCCGTGGTTGCCTTCTCTCTCTTGTAGGGAACGGTTGCTTTTATAGCCACCTCGGTGCTCCTCTTCGGACTGGTTAAAGAATGTAAGCCTCGGTGAGTCACCAAAGCTAGGCTGGTGACTCACCGAAAGGATGGTCGTGGGATGCCATCTGGTGTTCTGGAATTCTCGTTTGGTGTCGTGGCAACTACGAAGCAGCGTGGAGGTTTCTGACGAGGCGGTTGGAAGCTGAATCGTCAACGTGGAGGCTGGATGATGGAAATGGCAGAGGTGGCGACTGAACATGGCCCTAGGGTTATGATACCCTAGGGTTTTCTTTGCTGGAGTCATTTGGGCCGTTGGATCAAAACTAGATCCAACGGCAGCAAGTTGAGGCGGCCGGATGATGATATGGAAACCCTAATCTAGTTTTAGGGTTTAGCTAGGCCATCTGGATCTGGGTTACTGTTGGGCCTGATGTATCCGGGTTGGGCTTGGAACTATAATTGGGCCTCGATTTTGGCCTGTTTATAATAATAATAATTTTAATAATAATAAATAATAAATAAAATAATAATAACAATAAATAAAAAAATGGGTAAAAAAATTAGTATCTTCACAAATGATAATAATAAAAATCAATAATCAAAATATCATGTCCATATAACACGTCTATGTTACTAATGATAACAACACCTGCTGGAGGTATTTTTTATTTTAATTTCTGTTTTATTATTGAATGCTAAATATTTTTTTATTTCTTTTTTTATATTGTTAAAAATTGGTAAGAGTTTCAAGAATTACTTTATTTCTTATTACTGTGTCAAACGTGCTAGCTATTACATTTAAAAGAAAAAATATTGGCTATGACTAAGAAATGAAACTGTTACTAACAGAAAAGACTAACAAACTAGCTAACTAGTAACTTAATTTTAAAATTTCCCCTCAAGTTGGAGGTTTAAACACATCTCTAACCCTCAACTTGCACATTAAACATTCATGCTATATTCGCTAATTGCTCTGTGGTAGAAACATGGCTTGTCTTGATTAACCCTTCTTGAATTTCCCCCCCAAACATACTGATAATCGATCTCTATGTGTTTGGTTCTCTCATGGAAAATGGGATTTACAATTATTTGCAATGTTGCTTTAGTGTCACAGTACAATGCTACTGTCCCCTTCTCTTTGACTCCTAATTCTGTCAACAAACCAGTCTACTAAACTATCTATGTTGCAGCTATAGCCATGCTTCGATACTCAACTTTAGTGGATGATCTGACAATTGTGTTATGTTTTTTTGGATTTGCAATTGATTAAGGATTTCCCCAACTTGACGCAAAACTAGAAACAGACCTCCTAGCCGTTAGACAAGTTGCCTAGTTTGAATCGCAATATGCAACAAGTTCACAAACACTTGTAGCATCCATCAATATATCTTGACCTGGATCCTTCTTTATATACCCTACAACTCTCAAAGCAGCTTTCAGATACGACTGTTTTAGGCTTTGCATGAATTGAATCAGATGATGTACTACGAAAGTTATGTCAGGTCTTGTGTACGTGTGTTAAATAAATTAACTTCTCAATCAGTCTTTGAAAAACAGTTTTGCCTGTAAGTAACTCATCACCATCATTTTGTTGTTATATTCTAGCATCCTCGATATCACTTTGTTGCTATTGCAGATTAGTATCATCTGCTATTGTCAACTTTATGTTTTGTTCTAGGAAGAAGTCGAATAGTAACCATCTTTGCAACTGGGGAGAAGGTGTTCACATAATCTGCGCCTTCTCATTAAGCAGCCCTTGGTCACCAGGCGAGCCTTAAAATATTCCACTTCACCAGCTGATTTATACTTGATCTTATAGACCCATTTACACCCAATGGGCACCCAATGTGGGTATTTAATGGCTTCATTATAAGTGGTAGGCTCAACCAGGGTGGACGTAGAAGAAAGAAAAGACGGTGTTGAAAATGGTAAATGAGCATATGAAATAAATGAATAAATAGGATATAGAAGAGAGGGAGAGGATTGATGATTATGAACAAAATCACTTAACCATGTTAATGGACAAGTGACCTAAGAAGACCTCCTAACAACACAAAAGCTTTTATAGGGATCGAAAAAATATTATAGAAAGATGTGAAAGACCCCTGAAACATAGTGGAAGGTTCTGACGACCCATGCGACAAGATAGGAACATGAGAAAGATCACTTGTCGAGGATTACAAGTCGGGACTAGTGGAAGGAGTCGGTACCAAAACAAGGAAATCAAAATCTGAATAACCAGGTGAAAAAGGGAAAATCAAAGATTTTTTTTAACAGAAAAATGAAAAGGAAAAGTTTATTCATGGAAAATAACATCTCTATTACCAAAAAATATTTAGTGACCAGACTAAACAAGATATAACCTTTTTTGGTTGGAGAATAACCCATAAAGACATAGAGGATGGATTTGGTAGAAAATTTGTCTTGATAATTTGGTCGTGTGACATAAAAAAGACACCCAAATACCCTTAAATGTGAAAAATCAGAAAGTTTGTTGAGGTGTATGAATACAAGAACTCTAACATATTATCCCTAAAGATGAGAAAAGAACAGAACAATCTCAATTGAAGAATTATGTCCCATTGCCACTTCAAATGAATTTGACACAAGTTGAAAAATGAGTTTAAATGTGAGAAAAATGTTTTAAGAAACAAAATGGCATCACTTTTGACCCTTAACATGTAAACTCAAGTCATGTGTGTACAATCATCTACAATGGTGAAAAAAAATTGTCAACTCTATGAGTAGAAGTTCCATAGGACCCCCAAAGATATAATTGGATAAGTTTGAAAGACAACCCAGATTTTGTGTGACTAAAGAAAAAAAGAAGCCTAGATTGCTTCGCTAAAGGACACACATGACAACTATGAATTACATTATTAGCAATTTTATTAGAATAAGAAAATACAATTTGTTCATAGTATAGATAGCAGCATGATCCAAACGAGCCAGTCACAGCATTATTTTATTATTATCAGCAAAAGACGACTCATAATTACCAGCAGAAAATGATAAATTAGGATTGCAAGAGACAAGATGTAAACTAGACAAGCCAGAAGCTCCTTTAAATGACTCGAAAAAGTACAGTCCCTTAGACTATCTACCAATCCCCTTCGTCTATTCAGTGGAGTGATCTTGCAAGAGGTAAAAATCAAGATAAAAAACTACTAAAAGACCCAACTCTTTGGTCAATTTAGAAATAGATAAAAGGTTATGGTGGAAATTAGAAACATGTAACAGATTAGAGATCGAATATTAAAGGGTAAATTGATGGGTTCCAATGTGCGTGATTGAATCAGTTTCACCATTTGGGAGATGGACATAACGTGGTGAATGACGTGGAATCGGAGAAAACAGACCCCTAAAATCAGATAGAATATGGTTTGGAGCACTTGTATCCAAAATTCAGAGAAGTGAATTATTATGAACAAGTAATCGACTATAACCTTTACCTGCAAGATTCATCGAGGAATCAGATGTTGAGGAAGTATTTAACAGATTGAGAATTTGATTATATTGTTTTGGAGTAAAAACTTGAGTTGAGGAAACTAGAGCTAGACACGATGATAAAGCTTGAGATCCCGTAGAGACAAGATTATAATGAGAACTCCAGTCAGTCTGAATTGCAACGACCGCCTATGTTCCTTTCTTTTTGGTAAATTTAAAGTTCAAGGGAAAATTATTAAGACAATAACTATCGCGACGATGACCCCTAATCTTGCAATAGTCACAAACACCGTTAAAACGCCTCTTGTCAGAATTCTCAGAAGAATTCGAGAACATAACTATGCTTCAAAAATGGGAACCTTAGAAAGATGAACACCTTGTGCTTCTTGAATAATCATAGAATAGGCATTGTTGACTAATGGAAAAAAGTTGCATAATCAAAATTTAGCTCCGAATCACATAATGTGATTTGTTACGACCCATTAGGATTTGAAAAAGCTTCTTTCACTAGCAAAACAGAGTTTTAGCGACGCTTAAAAACGCCGCTAAAAGCACTTGCGATGATAGAAAAAACGCCGCAAGAAGCATCGGTCATACCAACGCCACTAAAGTTAATGGCGTTTGAAAACAAAAAACGCCACAATAGGTCAAGATCTATAGCGGTATTTTTGGAACAAATGCCGCAAAAAGTCAATATCTATAGCGGCATTTTCAGAACAAACGTCGCAAAAGGTAGATATATATAGCAACGTTTTCGATCAAACACCGCAAAAGGTCAATATCTATAGCGACGTTTTTGTTACAAACGCCGTAAAAAATCAAGATCTATAGCGGCATTTTTTGATACAAACACCGCAAAAGATCAGATCTATAGCGGCATTTTTGGATACAAACACCACTAATTACCTTTCTTTAGCTAAGATTAATTGATTTTGCATATTTCATTTTCGCTCTGCATCACCTAAATTTAATATCATGTAGCTTTATCTAATTAACAACAACCATTCTAATTAACAACAAAATAAATTAAAATTTATAAACATTAAAATTAAATGTAATGTAATTTGACATTGTTCTCTAAAATGATATATCTTTTCATGATCAAAATCAGCTAAAAAGAGAGCAGCATAACTCTTCACATGCCAAAACAACAACTTAAAATTGAAAGGAAAACATAACAGCAGTAGTGCAGTACAACAATTTTGAGGGCAATGGCAACTCTTGACCTGTGCGTATATAGAACATACAAAGAGCATTATTTTCTGCTTGTCACAGGAAAATTAATGAACCAACAAGCTAATAATAAGGTAAAATGAAAAATTTAACAAATAAAAATGCAATAGGAAATAAGAATATGAATACGTCAACATAACAAAAAGATGAATACTGAATAATCTCTTCTTTGAATTCAACAGTAATCCAAAATAACTTTTCAGGATCTTTAAGTACGAATTAGGAATCTTGCCCCATAATTCTCCTTTTTCTAACTCTATGCACCCTGGCAGACAATAATTTTTCAATCTAGCCATTAAATTATCTGTCATATAGGTTGTATCATAGATCTCAAACCTTTAATTTTTTCATTAAATTACAGTGGAACAGAACATGTAGAATGTGTACAATTCCTGTGTCCAAATGAGGTCAACGCTTTTATTTAATTTGGACAGAATATGTTTATAGAAGAAGATAAGTCCATCAATATGCAGAAAATGCTTGAAATGCACGTGTATGTTACAAATTAGATATATCAATTAGGATATTTTACAGATTAGATTTTCTTTATGAGAAAATTTGGTAAATGATAAACAATAAGCCATAAATTTCGTTACTAAATAAGTTATCAATCATGTTACTCACATATATGTGTAAAAAGGCAATCTTGGCATAAGAAACTTTAAGAAAAGCAACCATAGAGCCAATGCAACAGTTAAAGAACAAAATCTCAAAGGATGTCTTACCGGAGAGTTCTTAATCTCTTGGAGAAACTCTGAAAGTGCTGAATCAGCTTGCTGCCGTATTTCACGATTAGAATCACTTAACATATTAAATAAACCTGAAAGTTACCAAGAGCTAATTAAATCACTTCTTGTAGAGAGTCGCATACTAGTTATAAGGAATAAACCATATTACCATCAAGAAAATCAGGGAGGAAACCCAACATGTCAATATCTGGAACACTATCCAATACAGTTATCCATCCAACCACAAGCTTACGGACATGGGGATTTAGGACATTCATGAGCTCTCTCAACAATGGTATAAATTCTTCAATACTGAAGATGGTTCCTGGAAAATTAAAACAAGACCTCTAAACATAAACAAACTGTTTACAACTTCATCATATTCATCACGAGCTGTTTGCAACTGCTGCAAAGTGAAAGTTTCACCTTTTCCACCTTTAGACCTTTTTTCCTTTTGTTGTGCCACCAAGTATTCATAGACATGTCTGAAGATAGTGAACCAGATTCAGAAAAAGACTTGCATATAACCCAACCAAAATAAACATGCAGTGAAAAAGTGATGCATTCTAAAACCTCCAGCAATTCCCTAAAGGAAAGACTATCCAATACAATAATTTCAAAAATGCTAAATAACTTGAGGATCATTTGCATGAACTACGGAAATACGGAGGATAATTTGACAAATTCGTCAAGCATAAGCAACGGTTACACATGCCTTACAAGAAGTTGAAGGCAATTAAAGTAGGCACTAATAAATCGACAATAAGCAATATACCAGAGGAAGAAAATCATCAACACGCATGGAGAAGCACATTAAAATTTATGAGTTTTTACAAAATTAGATTCACCGTTATACATTTACCGAGAAAAAGAAAAAGGGGAACTTGAAAGAAAGAAAAGTTGCCTCCATAACCATATGTGACATATGGCTCCACCTTCTGCAGCATCTCCGTCACACCCTCAGTTTCCTTCATAAATACACCACTGAAAACTTTCCTCAATCTCAACCTGTACAAGATGTTCCTAGTTTTTGGATGCATATCATTTTTGCTACAACAAAGGGGGGAAATCAGACTGAAAATTTAGGAAGCAAAAATATTGAACAAGAACAAGATTCAAAACGTCACCAACCCTTGTATACGGATGATGAAAGTAACTTTGACCTCAGTTTTGGTATCACCGACTTTAGCCTCTTTGCCCTCTGTTTCATTCTGATCAGATCCAACTCCTAAAACCCAAAAATAGATTTAGATTATCTTAATTAGCTATCTTACTAAGTTGAAGAGTCAGAAATGTGTCGGATACAGATAATTCAAGCAAAATGAAGTCTGAGCAACATTAGAAAGTAAAATTACAAGGCGCAAGGGGCTGAACTGATACAGAGCAAAGCTAAGCTCAAATGAGCCTTTTATATTTCAACCTCGAGCTCAGCCTAAAAATGCAGTCAAGCTACAAACGACTTGATTAGGATTAACATTACTCAAGTAGGGAATTTGAAACATGAATCGAGCTCGAGTTTGAAAACAAATAAAATGAACTGAATCATATGTATACATGCATATCGCATAAAATAATAAAAATCCAAAATCCATGTTAGGTTCAGGAGTTGCTCGATTACCCAAAAACTGAACTTGAAACTTGACTCCAGCTAGAGTTAAAACACACAACTTTGAAAACATGTAAATAAACTAAAAATCTTTGTTAGGCTCATGATGAGTTGCTCAATTCTTGTATTAAAGATATTCAAACTCGACTCAATTCAATCTCTATCTACTTCTATTTAACTCGAACTGCACCTCAATTCGGAGGAGTGGTGTTTGAGTACTCAACAAGTACTTTCACTCATATGCAGTTACAGACTTACAGAACAATACTATAATGGATACCATTACAGTGAAAGTTTCACCTTTTCCACCTTTAGACCTTTTTTTCCTTTTGTTGTGCCACCAAGTATTCATAGACATTTCTGAAGATCGTGAACCAGATTCAGAAAAAGACTTGCATATAACCCAACCAAAATAAGCATGCAGTGAAAAAGTGAAGCACATTTTTTCATCACACTGTCCCTTCATATCCAGTACCAACAAACAAGATAAAGGCCGCTAAGCATGATAGTTTTAACAAAATTTTAATGAAGGTAAATGAATTACATTGGCGCGTAAGAAATGAGGTTGAAAATCTCTTAATTAAACAATAGAGATTCAAGCAAACAAACCTCAACAGTCCTAAGTTCATTGAGAAGTGACTCGGATGGATTTGTAATTGTCAGCAATATATGTGAGCGCTGAAACAAATAGAACGTTATTCATGTTCTCTATCTTGCAAATCCTAATCAGAGAAGACAACATAATTTGTAAAGAATTGATAATTACGAAAGAAGACATAAAAATAGACCAAAACTAAGCAAACACGAGAAAAAATATGAATGCAATGATTCATCATTTTATTCTTTCTTCTCCTAGCTAACACCTGTGAAAACATTGAATGGAAAAAAATGTTTAAACAGTCAATCCACTCATTTCTACCCAAATGACACATAAAAACCTTGAGAATTCAATCATCATTGATCGAAAGAGAGAATGTCAAATCACCAAACAAGCAAACGCTCGAAAGATCACATTTCTTTAGCATTTCTAAAAACACAAACAAAGATCAGAAATCACAAAACTTAGGAGTCAAGTATGCACTTGAATAAAAAAGAAACCAGCATTTCTCCAAATTCGAACCCAACACAATAAAATTAAGCTAAAAAAATTAAACCCACACCTATAAGCAACTCAAAAACGAGACCCATTAAATCAAAATCATACAAATATAAAGGATTTAAAAACAATGTTGAGATTTAACAAAGAACTAAACAAAGAGTCGCATACTTCACCAGATAAGAAGAGTAAAGCTTCTTTAGCACAAAGGTTGATTCAAAAGATTTCAAAGCCAATTTTAGAGGAAGATTTGGGGATCCTATGGAAAAAGAAAAGAGTCCCTTTATCCTTCTATTTATGGCTTGTTGCTGTGTTGTGTATTGTGAAGTGGATTTTCTTTTTATTGAATCTATAGATCCTTGTGACGATAACACAATCACCTGGCTGAAACTGACACTCAAGCAATCAATAACCGCAATCAATTTCCAAAATAAAAGGAGAGAGAGGCAAAAACCCTAATTCGAAAGAGAATTAAAAAATTCGTATAACTAATTAGATAGAAAAAATGGTTTTAGAAATTACAGATGAAGAGCCTCGAGGAACTTGTCGTGTTCGGTTCAGTCCAGCTCTCTCTGGACTTATATCTCATTTTGATTTTGGTCGAAATGGAAGGGGTAAGTTACGGTTATTAGAGGAAACGAAGAGAGAGAGAGAATTGGGAGCAAGTTACTCAGTGAGTTAGGCAAGGCCACCAACTCAAGTCATGGGAGGCATGGGAGGCAGAGCGCGGAGAGAGGTGCAGTGGCAGTGGTGGTGAGGCAGGAAATTTGAATTCAGTGGTAGTGAAGTAGAGAGGGAAGGGAGAAGATGAAACATTTTTATTTTTCAGAAAGGAGGGAGCGGTAATGAAAAAAAATAGGTAAACTGGAAAACATGAAAAAATAGCAGTACGATACTATAGCGGCGTTTGTATAAAAACGCCACTAGAGTATGAGTTTATAACAGAGTTTATATAAAAATACCACTAAAGTATGAGTCTATAGCGGTGTTTATATAAAAACGTCATTATATATGAACCATATTATTGCATTTTTATATAAACGCCACTACAGTACGAGTATATAGCGACGTTTTTACAAACGCCGCTAAAGTTTGAGTCTATAGCGGCGTTTGTATAAAAACGCCACTAAAGTACGAGTCTATAGCGACGTTTGTATAAAAATGCTACTATAGATGAACCCTAGTACGGTGTTTTTATATAAACATCGCTAAAGTACTAATCTGTCACGGCGTTTGTTAAAAAAAGCCATTACGAATGAACCTATCGTGACGTTTTGTGTAAAAATGCCACTAAAGTACAACTCTATCGTGGCGTTTTGTATAAAAACGCCGCTAAAGTTACCATTTTGTGGCGTTTGGAGTCTAAACGCCTTTATAAGTTTGAAGTTAGTGGCGTTTACTCTCAAAATACTGCTATAGAACAATTTTGTTGTAGTGTTTTGTGAGACATGTAGATGATTATGTTGTGCAATGACACAGTCTGAAAATGGAACAAGGGCATATACTCGTCCCATAGAAGCTTGAACCAAGTGAAATAGGTTGAAAAAGAAGAATCCCTTCGAACTAGACTAATTATTTCCTAATGAATAAAATAAACCCTAGACCCATATACTTTATCAAACCTCTCTTTCAAATTCTTCCAAACAAAGGTCACGCTGGACGCAAAGATGATTCCAATAGATAATTTTGAACTGGTGCTATTGAGAATCCACGATAGAATGGTACATTGCATCGTTCCCATTGTGGAAGCAAATTTGGAGTGAGATCTTCCTTTCGAAAGGTTGGCCCATTTGTACATACGTGAGATAGTGAGGTTACATGGAATATCAACATCCATCGTATTAGACAGAGATCCTTGATTCACCTCCCACTTTTGGAAGGCCTTTCATGAGTCCTTAGGACCAAACTAAACTTCAGTACAACTTTTCATCCTCAAATTGATGGACATTTAGAGTGAGTTATTCAGATCTTAGAGGATATGCTCCGGAGCACCATTATAGATCTAGAGGCTAGTTGTGAGGACCACTTGCCTTTAGTGGAGTTCGCGTACAACAAGAATTTCAGTCGAACATTTAAATAGCTCTATATGAGAGCTTGTATGGGCGCAAGTGTAAGACTCCACTATGTTGGACAGAGCTCAATGAGGGTAAAATAGTGGGTTCAGACTAAATTAGAGAAATCGAAGAGAAATTTTGGTTAATTCAGAGTCTGTTGAAGGAACCCTTAGATAGGTAGATATCCTACGTAGATATAAGGCCTAAGGATATAGATTTCTCAGTAGGGGACAAAGTGTTCCTCAAGATTTCCCCATGGAATAAAGTGCTTCGCTTTGGGCGTAAAAGAAAGTTGACCCCGTGCTTCATAGGACCTTACGAGGTACTAGAAATAGTTGGACTAATGACTTACTGGCTAACCTTACCACTAGAATTGGAGCGTAGTCACAATGTATTCCATACATTCATGCTCAGAAGATATCGCTCCGATTCTCCCCACATTATACTTGTAGAACAGATCGAGGTAAACCCAGATATGACCTATGAGGAGAAACCAATCTAAATTCTAGCCAGAGATGTTAAGGAACTGAGGAGCAAGAGGATTCATTTAGTGAAAGTACTATAGAGGAACCATGGCGTTGAGGAAACGACTTGGGAAACTGAGGAGGACATGCAGCTTCAGTACCCTTACCTCTTCTATCAAGGTAAATTTCGAGGATGAAATTTCTTTTTTTAGGAGGAAAGAGTTGTAAAGCCCCGAATCCCGAGTTAGTAGTTTCTGGTTAATCAAAGTGTGCTTTAGATTAACCAATTAGCATAAATGAAACCATGACCCAAATTTGAGTGGAGTTGGGCTTGGATTGGGCTCAATATGTCAGAAAATGGGGTGTTTTTAATTTGAGATCAAGACTTGAGTGACCAAAGGTGTAATTTTACCATTTTAAATTTCAAAAGCTGAAAACCATTAAGAAATGGTGATCTCACATCCTGTACACCCTCACTCTCTTTTTCACTGTCTTTTTTGTCTTATTCTTCTTCTATCTCGGCCTTCATTGCTATTAGTTCCAAGTTAAAGGTATCAACTTTGTAACCCTTCAAGCTTGGGCAAGAATCAGCAGGGTAAGAGCCAAAATCCCTTTATTCCAAGCTTCAATTCAAGCTCATATTTGAAAGTTTTAGTGGAGAAAACCAAAAGTGGGTTAGTGGGGGTTTTAGAAACATAAGTGATTTCAGCTCGTTTTGAAAAGATTCAAACCTCTAGAAATGTTTTAAATTCTCCTATAAGCTTCCCAACAACGTTAGTAACTTTGCTTTGATTTCTTGCTTAGTGAGATGAGTGGGAGAAATCTCCAAAGCTAAGGGGAAAGAGAAACTCACTTTTGGTTAGACCTTGGGTGTTTCCAGCAGTCTAGACATTCAAGGTAGCTCACTTCTAACTCAACTCTACCACATGTAGATCACTAGGCGAGTTTTGTTAGGTTGCATGAGTTATGAAGCATGTTCATGGTATATTTCATCTTGTGATGTTTCTAGCATGTTTATGGACTCTTTATGACCCCTATATTCATACATAAAACTTTAATAACAATTGGGACCCTCAGTAGGACATTTGGGGATAAAAAGATAGCATTTTTCGTGCTCAAAACAGGGCATTTCTGGGAACGAGTATCGGTATTAGAAGAATTGTATCGATATTGTTCTTAAGGCGCTAAAAATAATAAAGGAATTTGAGATAGAAGTATTCATATTCCTTCAGTGGGTACCGATACTGGGTGTAGGGTATCAATACCCATAGGGTGGTATCCATACCAAGATCATTTAAGAGATTCCAGTGTACAATTTTGGTATCGATACTCATGGGAGTATCGATACCAGTACGAATACCCTCAATAAGAGTATGACACTAAGATATTTTCCAAGACATCGAAGCTAAATTTGATATTGGTACTCGAGCCAGTATCAATACCATAAACTAAAAATATCAATACTCTAGCCAGAGTATCGATACTAGCCCTTGTCCTTAGTCGTTAAATTAGTTACAAGTATCAATACTCATATACCATTATCGATACCCAGAGATCAGTACTGATATTGAAGGGCTTAGTATCGGTACACACGAATAGTTTTTGGGGAAGAATCCAAAACTGTAATGGATAGAATTGAGGAGTCTCATAATACCATAATACCATGAAATAAAACTACAAGAAAGAAAAATGATTATACTCAAAATAGTTAGAAATAATAGTAGTTAGGACGACATAAAACTAGCCTTGTTTGATACTCGATACATAGTCAGGACACCGTAGTTACTTTAGGAGAATACGACAGTTAGTTGGATATCACAATCAGTGACAAGACACTTAATTGTCAGCTGGGCACAGATGCCATAGGACTCAACGGAGTAAGTTGGTGGGGTGTACGTTTTTGATGTAATTCCGGACCTCACCCCAAAATATCCAAGGGTATTCAGGCATGCTAGAGGGGTGTGTGAGCTCCGAGATGCAGAATCGTCATCTGTACCATGACACCTACCATAACATAGTAGATAAGTATTTCTCATGTCTTTATACCTGTGTCACTAGCTAGCGTATTTAGTGAGCGCATGTAGTTCAGTTATTAGTGAAACACTAAGCTCGTATGCTCAACGTTCTGAATGTGTTTTCATGCACAAGTTCTTAAAGGGTTGTTCGTGGGGAGTTATTATCACTAGATATTCCAAAGTAGCAGATCAACTAGAGTATTCAAGGTATGTCTTGATTCATTCTTAGAGGGCATGTACTAGTTATGGACTCTTTTGATTTAAACTCGGTATTGTATGATTTTGATATTTTGGGAGCTCCTCGTACTTATAAACGATATTATTGTGTTTTGTTTTATTTTCCATTGATGAGTTTTTATCAGATGCTTTATAGTCAGTTATTTTAAAAGAAAATTTTTAGGTTAGTCACTTAGGTGGTCCCGTGTGACATCATGATCCAGTGATCTCCGGGTAGGATTAGATTAGGGTGTTATAATCGCAATCCGCATAGAACGACTCTAAATACTGTAATTCTCGAAGCCGATTAGATGATGAGAGATCAAAAGAGAGCCTGATGTATCATAAGAGTGTAAAAAAAAAAGAGGATGATTGAAATTCAGGGTTGTAACTGTCATGTCTGAATAGAAGAGAAAAAGAATGGGTGGGCTGACAAAAAGAAAAAGGCTAAAAAAACAACCTAGTCTCTAGATACCATGCTGAAAAATATTAAGAGTTTCAGGAATTATTATATTTCTCATTACTGTACCAAACGTGCTAATTAGTACTTTTAAATGAAAAACTATAACTGTGACTAAGAAATGAAATTGTTACTAATAGAAAAGGCTAACAAATTAACTATTTAGTAACTTAATTTTAACAGACATTGTCGTAACCGGTTTTCGTCCGGGCACAAAATATTTATTTGGCGGGAAAATTGATGTGAATAAATGGTTTTGAAAATAATTTGAGAGTCGCCATCGGCCTTTTGGGTCAGGTAGGTCGAATACCTAAAAAATTATATTTTAAAAGAGTTTTTAAGAAAACATCAGTTAAAAGATAAACTGATCTGCGTTTTAACCAAAAATTCGTTCTTTTTAATAACAAAAAGGGATTCGTGGTCGGTTACGTTTAGGGAAGGATTAACACCCCTACAACGCCCAAAATTGGTACTTTTTAATTATAAATTGTCTCTATTATTGGAAATTAAAAAATAAAAATATATTTAATTCATAATCCTTTTATTTCAAATAATTTAATATATAAATAAGATATTACTTATTTAGAAATATCAGAAAAGAACTTCTAGGTACC